GAAAAATGGTTTGAAATGGAGCAAGTGTGCGGATATTTGCAGTGGTTGGAAAAACGATAGAAGCGATGTCTAGGATGAAGCAAGAGACAGAAAACTTCCCGAGAAGTTACTGTATGATCCCTCCGTATTCCTTGGCGAATAGGAAGATGCCGCCACTAGATTTAAAACGCGTATTAGATGACGCTGCGAAGTTAACAGAGGCCTGCGAAATTAAAAAAACATCTTTGGTTTTACCTAGCACGTCGAGATTTTTTCTTATTGGTGGCATGTATATGTATTTTAGAATTTCTAGCAGTTTGCATGAAAACCCCATAAATAAACAAAGTAAATCAGAAAAACGTATGTAACTTCGAAGTTAACGCTTAGAAAATTGATAACTGCAGGTTTCATTAGCAGTTTAAATGGAAAATGATTTTTTATTTCCTGTCAATTTCCTGTCAATGTAACTTGAAAGGTTTAGAAAAAACCTTTGTCGAATATTTTCCCAACATTAACTCTGAGGATGTCTACAGCTGGAGAACAAACCCGTTTTCATGTGACCCGAAAAATAAACCTTCTGATATGACAAATCAAGTTTTTGAAAACCTTCTAGACGTCAGTGAACACAGCACTTTGAATATTAAATACTACGAAGGGAGCCAAGAGAGTTCTGGATGCAAGTGTTTGTAGAAAACACTGCTGTTGGCAAGATTGCATTAAAAATACTTGTGACTTTTAATTTTACACATATGTGAGACTGCATTTGAAACAAATGCTTACATAAACTAGTAATTTTTAAGCAAAAAACAAAACCCACTTCAATTCTCATATAAAAGTTCAAGATTATCGTTAATCTGTTCATGATCCAATGATCGGATTTAAGCCAAATTAGAATGGGACCACCTGTGGGGTAGTGCTATAACATACATTAAAAAAATTAATAATAATAAAAAATATTCCGACGAATTGATACCCGTCTCCTTTTTGTGAAGTCGGTTAGAAACAAATACAAGCAAGCTTTCAGCGTCAAATGATTTCAGGGTAAAATTGTCAAAGCTCCCAATAAACTTAAAGGAAATAATGAAATTATCAAAACAGTTTCAGTCCTCACATTACTGCTAAAGGAGTATAAAGTTTGCATTGTGTTTTCTTGTTTGGGTAGGCATCTGAAGAGTAGGGCAGCCGCCACAAGCTAGCAGACATTCCCGAACACATACGAAGGAACCTTGAGCAAGCGAAAGACAGAGCACGAACACAACAAACGTACGAGGGTTGTGAATTACCGAGAAGGATAGGAAGTATTCCGGAAGAACTTCGCTCTTAGCAATTTTAAGCAAGCATAAATGCTATATTCTTGTCTAAATACATCAAGCGTCATGTCCTGCGAAAGGTAGGCAATGCTTTGTACGACTTAGAGGACTTGAATGGCAAACCGATCGGTAAGTTCCATGCATCTGACATCCGGCCGTGACACTGTCATTAGTCATGAAGAGCGATCAGAAAGCAAAGCTATTTTTTCCAATTTAATAATCACGTTTTTTCTAAAATTTTTATATACAGGTTTTTCCAATATTAAACTTAGCAATGGGGTGAAACCTTGACCGCCTGCGGACTGCCCGGGGTCCAACTTTACATGACTTTTCCTCGAAGCTAAGTCATGTAGAGGTGTAGCTCGCTCTCAGTATATCCAGTAAACAAACTTAACTATTTTTTTCACCAAATTTGGTCCCCATAAAGACTAATGTGCAAGCAACACTTTTTTTGGCAATAAGGGTGTTGTACAGCAATTCAGTGTGGTGAAAATTGTTTTAGCACTGGATAAATGCATAGAAAAATATTTCAGTGCGCTTGAACATCTCAGGTTTAAACGAAATATAAATGTATTAAGATTATTTATTTTATTATTACGTACCCATTTTTTTATTTTATTGTGTCGAAGCCGTTGCTCAAATATTTGTAATTTAGTATTTTAGTTAATTGTGAAATATGTATATTGAAAGCACAAACTAAATTATGGGAGCGATTTATTCACATGGAATTGGAAACAGGGCTGATGATATGCTATAAATAAATTTTGAATCTGCAAAAATATCTTTTCAGCATATGAATATACTTCTTAACTTTTTCTCGAAATATCGTGGCTTGGATGAACAATTTCCGTAAGCGCCATTTTGACAGTTTTTTAGTTAAAGATGCAGTAATATATTTTAAAATAAGATATTTCTAATTTTTGTTAACACTTTTTTGAATATCTTCTTTAGTTTCCGAGCAATTGGAGATGTTTTCGGTAATTTGGTACATATTACGTTAGTAATGCTGTCGTAAACTTGTAGGCGTTGTTATATTGTATTACCAATATTTATTAAAAAGATATATTAACGCTTAAATTACAAGTAAATGTCTACAATCTATGGTTTAATTAAAATGCCCTTTTACGTAGAATTTTTTCACACCAGTCCGTCTGGATCCACAGTCGGCAGAAGAGAGAGCAAGGCGAACAAACGATAGGCGCAAGGTTGCATTTTAGCTTGCTATAAAATAGCGCCTTTGGCGTTGCTACAATACTCCCCCCAGACTTCTACAGAGCGTAGCGAGATGGAAGTCTGACCGTTCGCCCAACCCTTGTCCTCTTTTCAGGGGTGTCTTGCGACGTTGTTGTCGAATTGGTAGGTTGACTTTTTTGAGGATAATTCGCCTCGGCTGTTGGAACTGGAATAGAGGTCTCTTCAGATGATTTATCTATGAATGCAGGTTTGATGCGGTCGATGGAAATCGTAACCGATTTGTCGTTTATCCTGGTTACATATGTTTTAGCAGTGCGCTTCTCAACTTCATATGGGCCATCATACGGTGGTGTTAGTGCCGGTACGGTAGTTTACGGACGAAAACGTGCGTAGCTGTTGCCAGTCCGGGTGCCATGAAAAGCTTCCGTTTTGCCTTGTGGGATGTGTCTGTGGGTTGTAGCTCGTGCATGTTTTTAATCAACTGCTGGACGAATTCAGATTGTACTGCTTGTGTGCGTGGCTCACACATGTCCCCTGGAAGTCTGAGTGATGTGCCATAAACTAGTTGAGCAGGGGTCGCCTTGATGTCCTCTTTGTATACTGACCGCAGGCCCAACAAGATTATCGGTAGTTGGCATGACCAATTTGAAGAATCACTGCACATAATCGCCGTCTTCAATGTTCTATGGAACCTCTCTATCATCCCATTTCCTTGAGGGTGATACGCAGTTGTTCGCAAGTGTTGAATACCAAGCACACGGGATAATTCTCGAAAAAGTGTCGATTCGAATTGCCGGCCTTGGTCTGTAGATATTCTGAGCGGTACCCCAAAATGTTTTATCCACCCGTTCAACAATGCTAAGGCGACTGTATCAGCGTTGATGTCTTCTAGTGGGATTGCTTCTGGCCACCTGGAAAAACGATCTATTATAGTTAAGCAATACCTAAAACCATTCGATGGAGGTAGGGGGCCGATTAAGTCTATAGTTATGTGGTCGAACCTTTGTGATGGTAGGCTGTATCTTTCGAGAGGTGAGACTACATGTCCATTCACTTTTGAACGTTGACATTGTATGCAATGTGAAACAAATTTACCGATCTCTGTGTCCATGTTTTCCCATACAAAGTGTTGTTTAACCAATCGCGCTGTGGCTTTTCTACCAGGGTGAGCTAAATTATGAAATTTTGCAATGGCTGCTTGTCGCTGCTCTGGTGGTTCATATGGACGTGCTACGGATACGTCACACATGATAGGTGTATCAGTTGTAGGTATTTTGATGAGCTTAAACTGGAGTGAGGTGTTGTCTGAGTTCAAAAGTTGTTTCAGTTCTTCACACGAAGATTGCTGTTTGGCTATGTCCTCGTATTTGATGACGTCTCGAGTGGCAATGTTGAGAGCGTTTATACGTGAGAGTGTGTCTGCGGTGATAATTTTCTCTCCTTCAATATATATTATTCTTGTTGAAAATTGTCCAATTAGGTCGAGGTGGCGAATTTGTCGCGGAGATAAACTCTCCTGGTGAAATCTCTTCCTTCTAGGAGATGCCTGAAATGTTTAATGGCACTATATATCGCAAGTAACTCTCGATCGTAAGTGCTATAATTTGTTTGGGCAACTGAAATTTTTTTTTTAAAAAATGCTAGCGGTTGAGGTTCGTTTTCGACGATTTGGTGAATTATTGCCCCCATTGCGCTGTCACTTGCGTCCGTGCATAAAATAATGTTTGCTGATGGGATTGGGTGTGCTAGGAGCGAAGCGTTTGCTAAATCTTCTTTGCACTTTTGAAAATGGTAAGTGGTATCTTTGCTCCATTTTATTAGTGTTTTGTCGTTTTTCTTGTTGCCTACTATCAGTGCGTTGAGATGTTGTTAGTGCTCTATAGCGCGTGGAATGAAACGTCTGTTAAAATTTAGCATGGCTAAAAATCGTTTCAGTTCATACGCGTGCTTTGGTAAAGGGAAATTGTGTACGGCCTCCACTTTTGCTGGTGTTGGGTCAATACCTTTGGAGGTAACGAAGTGACCCAAAAACTCAATTTGCTTTGCGCAGAAGGCGCACTTCGATGCGTTGATGGTAAGACGATGTTGTCGGAGTCGATCAAAAATTAAACGCTAGTGTTTTGAATGTTCTTGTTCCGAAACTGACGCGACGAGAATGTCATCAACATAGCAAAAACAAAAATCTAGACCGCGGAGTGCTTCGTGCATGTACCGTTGAAAGGTCTGTGCTGCGTTTCGGAGGCCAAAGGGCATGCGCAGGAATTCATAAAGTCCGAACGGCGTAGTGACGGCTGTCTTAGGCACGTCTGCTTTAGCGACCGGTATTTGATAATACCCACGATATAAATCGATTTTTGAAAATATTGACTTACAGTGTAGGTAGCAAGTAAAATCCTGAATATGTGGTAGTGGGTAACGATCGGGTAGAGTTTGCGCGTTCAGGTCCCTGTAATCTCCGCAACGGCGCCAGGTGTTATCGGGTTGGCGTACTACGTGTAGAGGCGAGGCGTAAGGGCTCTATGATGGCCTGCAGACGCCCAATTTCATCAGGTATTGAAACTCATCTCTGATGGTTCGGTACTTCTCTGGTGTTAACCTCCTTGGTTTTGAAAATGTAGGTGGACCTTCCGTTTCGATGAAGTGCTGAACGTTGTTGCTTATGCTGTCTTCAAATGTTTTATTAATTTGAGTGATGTCTTTTAATTCGCGTATTAATGCGGAGTATTTGCTATTAATATCGTAGGTTGTGATTGCGTATTGTTGCACGTTATCTGCTTCTACGGCTCGACTTTTTAACTGCGTTTGGGCGTCTATGATTTTGGAGTTGCGCATGTCTACTTTGAGGTTAAATTAGCTTAAAAAATCGGCCCCAAGTATATTGTACCTGGTGTCAGCTGCGACGAAATCCCATTCAAAAGGTTCCAAGTTCCAAACGTTTTGATTTGGGTGTTGTTCGCTGCGAACAATTTAGGTGTTGACTTATTTGGAGATGTATGACTTGCGCTGGGTGTGCTAACAATCGATATGTCGGCACCTGTATCGATCAAAAATCGTTTATTTGATTTACGGTCGTAAATGAAAAGTCTATTGTTCAACATTGTGCTATATTGGCTGTTGCAGCGTGGGTTGGAGGATGTATCAACGAACGTAGCTGCGGGCGCTGTTGACTTACTCAGTTTTTTGCCGTTTTGAAATTGCATGGTGTTTCGCATTTTTGTGCTTTATATCCGAAACGTCTGTGGTACCAACAATTTTTTTTCTGCATACCTTCTGATGAGTGACCTGTCTCACGCCTACGACTATGTGAGCGAGGCCTGCTGCTCCGGCGTCGCCTGTTGCCCAATTCGATTCTGGCAAGCGCTCGCTCGATGCGTGACATTCTAGTTTCCATTGAGGAATTGTCATTTAGTTTGGTTGTTGGGGTAGTTTGCTCTTGTTGGCTACGAACTGTAACGGCGTTTGTCGAATTGGCTCGTACAACATCTATTATTTCGTCGGCGATTGATGCCAGCTGCTCCAAAGTCATGTCGGTGTTCCCTTTGTCGATACCAGTTATCACTGCCCTTGCGGATACAGGAAGTTTCTGTAATCAAAAGTCTTTAATTAATTGTTTGTCGGTAGTCACGCCTGTGCGTTGCAGTTGCGTGAGCATGTGACTTGGTTTGCTGTCACCTAGCTGGATACCCGATGTTAGCTGCTCAAGGCGCGCGATTGGCGATACTGAAAATTTATTTAAAATTGCTTGGCGTAATGTTTCGTACTTATCCTTGTTTGGAGGGTTTCGTACTATGTCGTATGCTTGCTCGTGCAACCGTTCATCCATGTACATCACAGCTATGTTAAACTTTGTACTGTCTCGTTGTTCCTGGTTCAATTTCCCGAAGTTGTTTATTCGAAAAAATGCTTCTAGTCGGGTGAACCATGACTCGATTCCTTGTAGCGAAAATGCGTGGAGTTGTGGAATTTGTACGCGAGCGGCAAAGCTGTTAACGGCTGCGTTGTCAGTGGTTTGGCTACCTGATGTGGTTGATGTATCCTTATTGTCAGGGACGGCACCGTCCAGGTTTTCTTGGGTATTTGGCATTTCACGAAAACGGAAATGGAATATGGTTTGTAATATGTAGGATTAGTAGGCTGTTAGCGGATAATGCGACGTCGTAGTTATAAATAGGTGATGCAGTCGACACGAGTAGTGCCGTGTCTCGTCAATGGTGGCCGGTTGCGTTGTACGCGCGTTTGATTGCTAGCAAATATAGACTTGCTGATGGGTCGTGTGACACGTTGCGAGGCTGTGGTTGTCCCAACCTACTCACTTGCAAGCGCGATTGGTGGATATAACCTGATTTAGTTCCAGTACCAGCGCAGGGAGCACGTTTTTTTTGTCTAGTTGCGGTTTTGTGCTTCCTTACCATGTACTTCTGTTGCGAATGTTGTTCTGCTGTCGGGGTCACCAGTTTGTAGGCGTTGTTATATTGTATTACCAATATTTATTAAAAAGATATATTAACGCTTAAATTATTAAAATGCCTTTTTACGTCGAATTTTTGCACACCAGTCCGTCCGGATCCACAGTCGGCAGAAGAGAGAGCAAGGCGAACAAACGATAGGCGCAAGGTTTCATTTTAGCTTGCTATAAAATAGCGCCTTTGGCGTTGCCACAAACTAATCCAGATCTTTCAAATAGCGGCATCTGTTTTTAAATATATACTTTAGTTACCGACATATCATGAGTTTCAATTTCTTGAACCGGGTCACCTTCCCACTTTTCGTTTCCGCGTGGTCACTACGGGTGCGAGAAAAAAATTTTCTGGCGATAGTCACGATTAGGCTGGTTAGTAAAAATCATCGTTAACTAATAAAAAATTTTAGCTTGTATATTTATGTCTCTCTGAAGCATGAATTTTATATACATCAGGACCAGGGCCCGACGCAGTTATGTCTGTATTTAGTAACGGCTCTATGACAAAATATTCAAGAATTGTATTCGTAGATTTATATTTACTTCATATCATACATTAATATTTATCTGATTTTTTTTAATAAGTACCAGGAATAAATGTTAAGTAAAAAACTATTTCACTTAAGCTTAACCAACTTTTAGTTGCTCGGAGCAAATTTTGGAAAGCTTCATGTAGTATTTTCATTGACGGTAAATGCCACCCCGGCTGCATCATTAATGAGCTGAATAACCAAACCAAATAATTAAATTTGTGCATTGAAGCCTTTTGAAATGGCCTTTAGAAACGGCAATGGAATTTCGACATTATTCAAGGAATTGTGAATATAAGCTGCCTTCCATTTGGCATATTTACGCTTTAAACTTTCAGAAAGCTACAAAAAAAAACATTTTCTATTTTTATTTATTATATATTTTTGAAATAAAAATACTCCATCTTGTACACCAAAAAATTTCTTTAAACCATCTTGCGCAGCAGTTTATTGATCTTATATGCACGGTTACCGAAATCACCAACCTCAACGTAGTGATTAGCCTTCTTGCGTCAGCCACCGGTTGGTGTTGAACATGAATGGGCACAGGAAGTTGGATCCAACAGTGAATATTTCGTGCGCCAAATAATCAACGCACTGAATATCGTGTGCTTTGCGCAATTTGCGTTCGATTACAAAGTTGTCAGAGACTGGGACACGTTGATGGTTATGCTTGACAATTCACGTTTGTAAATCAATCCACGAACTGATTTAAGATTTGGATAACCCCATGTGCTATAGGGTTGGGCAATGCGTAGCATATTAATGGTTCAATTTGCAGAACAAACCGTCGCTAATGTGGCGAAACGGAACAACAGTAAAACTTTACGCACTTTTGTTGCAACTTTGTTTATACCGCGGATACAGATCAAGCCAATTTGTCTTCTGCAGGCACGTAGAATGAGCCGCGTTTCTTTGCCAGATGGCGCAACTTATTCTCACGGCGTCTATCACGGATATTTTGGTTGATATTTCTCAGCATGCACCAATTTTTCACGTTTGCAGAGTGCAATCACAGCAGAGCGCTTTGGTTTACGCTTGATCAGGGTAGCACGTTTGCTGACCTGCTTCTTGCTGAACTTCAGCTGCGACTCGAGGACAGCAGGCAGGTTGTTTGCCCTTTGCCTCGGGCTTCTTACCGGCCGTGGTGGCAGTCATCTTAACTTGTAACTTAGCACGTTGAGAAGGCGAAAAAAGTTTCACCACGATGCAATACAGAAAGAACAAAGACCAGGGATGTAATTTGAAGTAACCTATTATTCAGTGGCAATGCGCAGAGCGTCCCGAGTAGAAAAATTAGTTTGTATCAAATATAACATTAAACGGTGGTTCTAATACATTTCTTAATATTATTAATCAGAGTACATAGATTATATGGTATTTCTTACAAAAATTAATGCACTATATGCATATTTTTTTTTTTTTTTGAAAAGCAACCATGCGTGTAAGAAATTGTGTGCTTCCAAAAATTTCACCTCTGGAAACTTTATCCCCATAAAGGACTTCACTACAGTTTTTTACTGTATGTACTGAGAGCTCGCTTCTGTAACTCGTCTCTACCAATTATTTCTCTACTGGTAGAGAATATACGCCATTCTTTACTACTCAACAACAAGGCTGCGAATTCATATATGAATTCGCCCTGGTAGAGAATTGGGACAGAAATGAGCTACTGGACTAGCGGAGGGACCGTACTGTGAAGGCCGACTAAGTTCGGCAATAGGGGGGTGGCTAACTCTAGCCAACGAATGCGAATAGAGATCTTTTTGTCGCTTCTTGTCGCTTACTTCTTGCCTCTGGCCTAAAGAAATAGTGAACCACCGCATCACCGAAATTAAATTTTTCTCCAGAGTTCGCTCGGTATAATTCTGAATCAAGCATTTCGAAAAGAATGATGTTTCAACCCATACTTAATCACATAACCGGGAGTGAGTTCCGAATCGATTATGCTAGGCAAACTCAGACCTAACTTTTATTTTTCTTCCTATCAGAATTACGAAAACCACCCTGACTTACTGAAACCCCTGATTGAACCTTTTAAAACATTAAATTCATTGTTTTACAAATACATGAATTATAGTAGCCCGACTTAGTATTAACCAAATCAGTGGACTTATTGTTCCGGAGGCCGATTAGACAAAACTGATCCACCCAGCATTATAAGCGAATACTGACGCGATAAGTAGTACAAGCGTTAACTTATTAGTCTCCCAATGCTGAGTCTGGCGAATTCGAACTGCTACCAGACGTAAATACGGGGTTGTAATCCCTTGCCCGGCTAAATACCTCTTTTTTTAGACTCTATATCTCAAGGGTGAGTCATATCCCACGTTCTTGTGATTTTAACACCTAATTCTTTTGCCGGACGCCTTGCGACGACAGTTAACCCTTTTTCCCGTTCACTTCTGTGACGAGTCGTGAATTGAAGCAGGTTTGTTATGGGTTACTGTTCGACGCACAAAATATAAATACTTTATTCTTCGGCCTATAGCGCACCCGGTAGCGTACCAGAAATGTCACCATCTGCCATTTGCAATAGCTGTTTCTTTGCGGATAGCTGTCGTTGATTGTCACTAGTTCCTGTACGTTTTTTTTTTTTTTTTTTTTTTTTTTTGTTGTTAAAAAACGCTTTCCAGCGGAGGCTAGTGATCGTTTGTGTCAGTTGTCTGTAAATGCCCGTCTTCACAGGATGGAATTTATAGCTTGACACATCTGTTGGAATGTGGAGGACAATACATATCAGGGCTTATATCTTAGCATCTATTGCGGTAACTTGGTAGTTCGACAGCTACGTTTTCTTTTGTACTAAAACATTGTAGCGGAAACATTATCGATATTCCGAAATAGAAATATGCCATGGATTGTGAGCGACCTTTATTAAACTGTCATGGTAAAACTTTTGCAAAAGAATTTCACAGCTGATTCAAAAGTGGTTGCTAATAAACGTCCATTCTTTGTTGAGTTTTTCTCTTTTTATTTTTTTTTAATAATTTTAGTTTCCATTTTACTTTACGTTTTCTTTTTTGTGCGTCAGCTTCGGTTTTTTTTATGAATTTAATCAGCTGATAGAAATGTCAACCAGAATTGCAATGCATAGCATTTTTATGATATGGATTTTCGGTATTGCAAATTTGTCAAGCCATGACAAATGCAAATGCGTGTATTTTGTTTGTGTATTGCAAATAATTTGCAGTACAAATTTGCAATGCAATGATGCTAGGCC